ACGGAGTTCGTATGAACGAGTTACAAATTATAATAGCATATTTACGTATTAAAATAAAGTATAAATCATGTATACGTACACATATATATACATATGTATATATCATTAGAAAGGTATCGACGATGCGGTCATTATAAGACTAATGTTGAGTTCTTTCGACATTAGTTTAGTACAAATATCATTAAATCCATTTAAAATAGTATTATAGAGGGGTGTTTAGTTGTTTATATAACTAAAAGGTCATTAAGTAATTATGGAGGGTAGTTTTTGAAAATTCAATTAGTATAAATAAGAGCCTTGGGCTCTCATATTTCTTGCACCATTCTCTTGATTCAAGAGTCTTTCTCTCCTTATCCCCCGAGCATTTCGGTCCCTCGTGATTCGACTTCTCTTTCTGTAGTTTTAGTATAGTAAGGTGAGCGCTGAAGCGCTGCACGAATCTTTCTTAGAAAGATTCAGCGACGAAGTTCTGCCCCTGCAGAGCCCGACTCCTAGCTAAAATCCCCTTGAAAGTAAGTTATGCTTACCCTATTTTAAATATAGTTTATATTTAAAATTAGTATTGTTATTATAAATTTATAATAAATATTTGAGCTATTATTATGACTTATATAAGTGTCGTTATAATATCTTTTAACTACTCGCGGTACGGGGAATCTGGTTTAAAGGGCCGCATAGGGTTGTTGGATTTCAGAAGTGCTATACGCCAAAATGGTCCTGCCCTCCGGTGTTTTATGTCTGGCCCCTGTCTGTACATAGTAGTTGGAAAGTATTGTTTAAACGCTTATATAATAATAATAATAAGACTAATAATTAGTGACGGTAATATTAGACTAAAATCTAGTGGTGATAATATTAGGTTTTGAAGCGCTGTCCGAGTACCGAGTCACCACCTTCTCAGGTGAGTGCATAGTCCCTTTCATCTTACACATAGATATGAAGTATTTTATATAAACTACGTGCTATGTGTGCATATTATCTGAATACTTGCTGTCTATGCTGGATGAACGTTTTATACATGTTTTAAAGAATTTAAGCTGTATACGTATTTTATATATACGAATATGTTGGGTATGAGATGGGTAGATGAATGATGAGAGATAGAAGATGATACATTGGCAGCTATAGACTTAGTGCCTATGGGACAAACACCGGTAGCTATGGACTTAGTACCTGTTAAACTTGGTAGCTATGGATTTAGTACCTGTTGGGAATTGGTAGCTATGGACTTAGTACCTGTTGAACATTGGTAGCTATGGACTTAGTACCTATTAGATAAAGACTGGTAGCTATGGATTTAGTACCTGATGAATAGACCATAGCAGCTATGGAATTAGTGCTTTATGAACGAACATTGGCAGCTATGGATTTAGTGTCAGTCCTATAACCCTGGAGGTAAGGGACTTCGGAATAAACGAATGCAGGATAGATGACTCTTAGGTTAAATCCTTAAAGAGTAAAGAAGATAATGGGATGGGTAATTGGGTTGATTGTTTGATTGAACATAGTAATTATATTATTGTGGGTTGAAAACCCTATGTACTCACCAGGTTTCCCAACCTGACCCACTCAGTTTATGTATATCACAGGTGACGAAGTGAAGTGACATTACACTGAGAGATTTAAAAGAGATGTAGATCACTAGTGTAAATCATTGTAAGTTCTATTTATGCTTATGTTTCGGTATTAACGATGACATCCCAAACATTTTAAAATGAAATAAATACGTTTCTTCGAAAATGTTCTAATAACGTATTTACCATGTTTTTCTGGGAACAAATTCCGCAACCTTTTTATAAAATGAAGTACTCTGGTTTTTATAAAGCATAAACAAAAAAATCGGTCTTTTCTGGCCGTGATTTTGGGGATGTCACAATACTCAAAATCGATCTCTAATTCACAGGATTCACAAGAAGACACCATATGAGATGCTGAAAAGTTGAAAGCCGAACGTATCCTTCTTTCACGTGTTTGGATGCATTTGTTATATTCTTAATCAGCGTGATCCAAGATCAAAATTTGAGCCTAAGGCTGACAAAGGTATTTTTTTTGGGTACTCATTTATTTCAAAATCTTTTCGTGTTTTTCATGTGAACAGGCAGTGCATTGAAGAATCCATTCATGTGAAGTTTGATGAGGAATCATACACTGATGAAAAAGTAGCTCATTCTTCCTCTATTTTTCAAGAGCTTCTCTCTTGCCCATATGATGAAGTTTCTCATGCTGAAGAAGAAGCTACTATTCCTGATCCTATCGTTCCAGATCCAAGTTCTTTGAATCAAGATACTGTAGTTAGCTCGACAACTCATTTGTCTTATACTGATGAAACTCTTGAGAATGAAGACCCTCCTGCAACTGATGTTCCCTTCAGCAATAACACTTCAACGTCAAATCTAGTGCAATCAGCTTCTAGACATCGAGATCACCCTGTTGATCAAATTATTGGGAATCTTCATGATGGTGTCCAAACCAGATCTCGTGTATCTAATAATTTTTGCATGTATGTTAATTTCGTTTCAATGATTTTACCTGGCAAGATACACACAGCTCTTCAAGACGCTGACTGGATTAAAGCCATGCAAGACGAGATGAACGAGTTCGAAAGGCACAAGGTTTGGACCCTTGTTCCCAGACCATCAGGAAAGACCATCACCGAACACGTTGGGTCTACCGCAACAAGGTTGATAAAGATGGCATCATTACTCGCAACAAAGCAAGGCTTGTTGCTCAGGGGTTCACTCAAATGGAATCCATCGACTACGGGGAGACTTTTGCTCCAGTTGCTTGCATTGAAGCAATCAGACTGTTTCTCGCATACGCTTCATACATGAACTTCATTGTCTACCAAATGGATGTCAAAACATCATTTCTTCATGGTGAGTTACAAGAAGAGGTATTTCTCAAACAACCCCCAGGCTTTGAAGACAAAGAGCACCCTGACTATGTGTACCGACTAGATAAAGCTGTATATGGACTGAAGCAAGCTCCCAGGGCCTGGTATGAGACACTTACATCATATCTTCTTGAAAATGGCTACAGAAGAGGAGCAATTGGCAATACTCTCTTCATCAAACAGAAAGGCTCAGAACTGATTCTTGTTCAAATCTATGTCGATGACATCATCTTTGGATCTCCAAATGAGAAGCTGAGCAAAGAATTCGCTGAGATCATGTCTCAAAGGTTCGAAATGAGCATGATGGGGAAGATGACTTTCTTCTTAGGTCTTGAGGTTTAGCAACAAAAATCAGGTATTTCAATTTGTCACAGTAAATACATTGCTGACATGCTAGTTAAGTATTCTCTCAGCGACTGCAAACGAGCTTCTACTCCGGTGTCCAAGACTGATAAGCTACACGCTGATCCCACCGGCGCTGATGTTAATCACTCTCTTTATCGAGGAATGATTGGATCACTTCTCTACCTCACTGCAAGTCGCCCTGATATCATGTTTGGAACCATTCTCTGTGCTAGATTCCAAGCTAATCCTAAGGAGTCTCATCTCATTGCAGTCAAACGCATCTTTCGATACTTAAAGGCCACTCAGAACTTGGCACTGTGGTACCCTCGTTACTCAACGCTTGAACTCTTTGGATACACTGATTCCGACTATGCAGCTTGCAACTTAGACAAGAAGAGCACATCAGGTGGATGTCACTTCCTTGGAAATTGACTAATCAGCTGGTCCAACAAGAAACAAACCTCAGTAGCTATCTCCACTGCAAAAGCTGAGTATGTTGCAGCTGGGAGATATTGTGCTCAAATCCTATGGATTCAAAATCAACTTTTAGACTATGGGCTTAAATTCACAAAGACTCTTATATTCTGTGACAACACCAGTGCCATTCAGATCACACAGAATCCGGTTCAGCACTCAAAGACAAAGCATATAGAGACCAGACATCACTTCATCAGAGACAATGTTGAGAAGGGCAAGGTTGTTTTACAGCATGTCAAGACTTCCGATCAACTAGAAGACATTTTCACCAAGGCCCTGGATACTCAAACTAATGCTCACATCATTGGCGAACTTGGAATGATCACTCTCGATTGAAAAATTGTTTTACTAATGTTTGTTATTGTCTTATACACTAATATTTTTTTGTACTGATGATGATGCGCTGATGATGTTTAGCATGCTGAGTACACTGTATGATCTCTTATCTCTTTCTCTTCTACAAATCTTCTAAACTAAAGTTGAATGATTCACTGTATTAAACCATACACTGATAACAACTTGAAACTCTTTGCTAATGGTTAGACAAAACACCAAGTTCTATCACACGCAACTATCCATTCTTACCAATCTTACACTGATTCTGTGATTCGGTGTGACAAAACACATGCTGATGAGAATCTAACAGTCTTTGCCGATGGTTAGACAAAACACCAAGTTCTATCACACACAACTATCCACTCTTACCAATCTTACACTGATTCTGTGATTCGGTGTGACAAAACACATGCTGATGAGAATCTAACAATCTTTGTCGATGGTTAGACCAAAACACTAGTGTCTATCACACGCAACAATCCTCACTTCACCTTCTTCTCACTCAGTGTCTAATGACTCAGTAAGAAATACCACTCACTGATAAAGACTCGACACTCTATGCCGATGGTTGGATAATTAAACTAGTATCTATCACACACACCAATCACCTTGCTAACCCTGAACAAGCAAGTTGTACCTTGAATTGACGACAAACTATCTTTCAGCATGTAGCTTTCCGTGATAGCAATCTTAGCGCTTCCGCAGTCACTGATTGTCGTTTCCTCTTTGGTACAACGACTCTATTTACCCAACAGATATTTTTTTTGGTTTGACAGTCTGGCAAGATACGCAGTTATTTTCGCTAAAGATAATCATTACTTTTTACCATTTCATTCCCTATTTAAACCTTTTCACCTCTTCCCCAAACCTTTTTACCTTCCTCTAATTTTCTCTCTCTCTCTTAAAAAAAAAGAAAAAAAAGAAAACCCTAGAATCCTAAATTTCTTCAATGGCGGCATCACTGTTCACCTTCTCCTCCACTTCAAGAAGAGTCGTCCCAGCTCCAAACTCGCCTCCTCTTCCCATATACATCAAAGCCACCAACGTAGTTTTCAACCCTGATATTCCAGATGTTCATCGAGGTCTTGCACTTGATGATTTTGTTAATTTCTTAGTCTCCTGCCGACTCCGATACGCAATCAGTGACGTTCCATCAGAGTTCTTTCCCGAACAAGTCTATGAGTTCTACTACACTGCAACAATTAATGATGAAAATAACGCCATCTCTGGGACTATTGGCCGTGGAAGACACTCAGTCTTTATTACCGCTGACCTCCTTAGTGTTGCGCTCAGGTTACCAATCTTTGAACCCTTCTCTGAGCTTCCACCTATTGAACGCTGTCGACGTCTCTTTGATCAACTGGGATATGATCACTCAAAGGTTGGCACTCGATTAGCTCTCATTCTACATCAATGTATGACTCTAGGATGTAAGTTCTTCACCGGTGCTCTGTGCAAATGTGTGGGTCACAAATCTCGCAGTGGTGATCAACTGAGCACTTATGAGCAACAAGTCGTCTGTTCCCTTCTTCTCAACAAACGACTTGATTATGGGGGTTTCTTCTTTGATCATCTTGTTCAACTTCTTCGTGCATCTGTACGCGCTGATCGTGTCCCCTTTCCACGCTGGATTGCTCTTGTGCAAGATAAATTTTTCGCTAAAGCTTACTACTCACACTCTGGAAACCCCATCCAATGCTCACGCATGTCAGTACGAATGTATCAGAATGATCCGTTGGAAACTAACATCGGCATCTCTGATCGGATGAGAGAATGGATTGCAAATCCATAAACTGTTCCTTCACTAACCACTAATACTGATGAAGGAGCTGATGGTAACAACGAAGATCATGCTGATCAAGAAGCTGAATCACATGATGGTGGTCATCTCTCCCCTCAACTTTCTCATCATACTCTCTCTGTTACTGAGAGAGATCACTCAGCTCAAGGGGAGCCACTAATTCAGGGGGAGCAACCATCCCAGGGGGAGCCACCATCTCAGGGGGAGCAACCATCCCAGGGGGAGAACCCATCCCAGGGGAACCAACCTTCTCCAAGGGAGCAACCTCACTCACAAGAAGTTCCAGGTACTTCATTCCTTCATATACCAGCCTCAACATTTAATGAGATTCTGACACTAACTCGGGACATGAGTCAGCGTCTTCTACGAATTAAGGCCGATGTACATCAACTGAGGGAGTTCTCTTGCCAACTCCTTCCCCTGGCCCACAAAATGATGATGATCAAAAAGGGGGAGACACTGATGATGATCCAAAAGAGGGAGACACTGAATCTGTTGAGCTTGGATCTGCGGACAACACTTTAGTCCAGATTGAGCCACCACAACTAATGCACGAGTCTGATAGACCAGCTACTGACGAGTCAGATAGACTAGCAGATACTGAACAGATTGCTGAAGATAGTGAGCATGATGATGAACATGATGATGAGTGTCAGATGCTGGACATGAACTTCATTGATCCCACTATTCTAGCTCAAGGAGATGCCTCAGAGGATAATGAAGATGAACATGATGATGAATGTTAAATGCTAGATATGAAATTCATTGATCCCATTATGCCAATCCAAGGAGAAGATTCAGATGTAGCTAGCGAGGATACTCAACCTCTATCTCGCAAGCGCAAGGCAGCAGATATTGAATTGGATTCTTCACACACTGATACTTCTCTGCCTAGCAAGAAACCTAAGTCCACCGTCAGCATATCCAACTTGGCAGCTGAATGGAACATGTCACCTGATCAAGTTAAGAAAATTCTTGATGAAGCCAATCAAGCTCAGCTTCTAAAGAATATTGCTCAAGCTGATGAATCTATCATTCAACATCAACTTCAGGCTAGAGGATCCTTTGAAGCTCAGATGCAGAAGTTCTTAGAATATCAGTCCAAATCCAAATCTTCCCAGCCTCCTCCCAGTAGCAACAAGTCAAGGACTGAAAATGTTCTAGACAGGATTGATCGAAAGAGGTTTCAAGATGTTCTTAAACGGCGAGTGAGCAGTGATAAAATCATCAAAGTTAAAGCTTCTAAACCTCGTAATGAGAAAATTCTTACATTGCTGATCACTCGTCAAGGTCCTCAACATCCATACACTAAATTTGTCAAGAGGGATGAGCTGATCAAATACGGATATTCTGAATGGATGGAATTGCTCGAATTAGCATCCAAGCAAACTTTAGCTCTCTCTTCAGAATTGACATGTGCTCTCCATCTACTGATCAAGAAAGTTCAGCGCTTGGATCTTGTTCCTACGCAGCATTCTCAACAGCAAGGTCAAAGTTCTTCAGTTCCAAGAATCAGAAGTACCATATTTCAAGTTGATAGTGAAGATGTGTTGGTTCTAAATTTTGGTGCTGAAGGAATAAACAACTCTCTTCCTATCGGTGTTGAGCCGGTTCAACATAAGTTCATCTCTGTTCCTGAACATGGAATGTTTTATCTCGATAAAAACAGAAGAATGTGCTTTCAGCGCACCACAGAAATTCCAAGAGCTCCAACAGCACATCTTGTTGGCTTAAGACAAATGTGCATGAGTCATCAAGATTTATCTGGAGAGTTTCACATACTGATTTCTATGGAGCTACTAAATAGAAGACAGGAGTTGCTGGATAGTCCTTACTGGCCTATGAAAATAGAAGCTGAAGCTGAGTATGAAGAATTTTTGTCCAGAGGTGTTGTCGTATAGCTGTTGTTTTGAACATCATCATATTGGGGGAGATTGTAAGGTCGAACCTTATAATATGATGATGTTTGAAACTGATCCATCAGCATCAGCATTAGTGTCAGCATAGAAGTTGTTCAGTATATATATTGTCTTATATGTAACAGATTTAGTATTTATCTTGTTTCCATAGTTATCATATATTAGTTAGCTGGAACATTCCTGATTTGTAGGGATTGTCTATAATAGTTCTATATAATCTTTTGTACGGGTTTGTGAAGGGGTTGTCTTTCACAAACCCTAATAGCTGCTTTGTGCGAACAATAATCTCTTTGTGAGATTATCATTCTTAGTGAAAGTTCTTTGTGATATTTCGTTGTTCTGTTCTTATTATTAGTCATTGTTTGATAAATCGATTGATCTAAGGTCCTTTTCATGTCCCTATATCTATTATCTCCGATAGAGATAATAGGTTTACTTCGAGATTCTGGCAATCACTGCAAAACGCATTAGGGACGAGGCTGGACATGAGTACTACCTACCATCTACAGACCGACGGAGAAAGTGAGAGGACTATCGAAACCCTGGAAGATATGCTGCGAGCCTATGTGATCGACTTTGGTAAGGCATGGGATACCCACTTATCCCTTGTCGAGTTTTCCTACAACAACAATTATCATACGAGCATCAAGGCAGCTCGATTCGAAGCCCTCTACGGCCGGAAGTGCAGATCCCCTCTGTGCTGGGCTAAGGTGGGTGACACTCAGTTAGCTAAAGGACGCGTTCCTGATAGCGCTCTCACAGGTCCGGAGATCATTCGAGAAATAACCAAGAAGATCGTACAGATAGCTAAACGACTAAAAGCCGATAGAGATCGACAGAAAAGCTACGCAGACAAACGAAGAAAACCCTTGGAATTCTAGGTGGGAGACCGAGTCCTTTTGAAAGTCTCACCATGGAAAGGCACAATACGCTTTGGAAAGCTGAATCCAAGATACATAGGGCCTTTCGAGATTCTCGCCAGAATCGGCCCCATAGCTTACAAAGTCAATCTACCCCGTGAGCTCAGTAACATACATCCTACCTTCCATGTCTCAAACTTGAAAAAATGCCTATCCGAAGATACTCTCGTAATCCCACTCGACGAGATCAAGGTCAATGAGAGCCTCAACTTCATGGAAAATCCTGCAGAGATGATGGACCAAGAGGTCAAACGAACGAAACTAAGCCGCATCCCAATTGTGAAGGTTCGCTGGAACGCCAAGCGAGGACCGGAATACACTTGGGAGTGTGAGGATCAAATGAAACTTAAATATCCCCACCTTTTTGCTTAATTTTTGTAATAACTTAGTTGATGAACTCTAATTTCAGGACGAAATTCCCTCTAACGGGGGATGATGTGACAACCTGAAATTTATTTCTTCACCGTAAACCACTTCAGTTAATAAAATTTAATTTATTAAAAGTTTTTGTTTCCGTTAACTTCTTAAGTTAAGTAAATCCATTTGGGTTATTTTCCTAATTTTATGTGTAATAAAAAACAAAACGAAAAATCACGCGAAAAACCCCGTTTGCGGTTAGTGTTGGGTGGACCCCCACCCTAGACGTGAGCTTAACCCTATATAAGGGTTGAGCGGTCTTCACTTCCATCCTTTTCACACATTAGAACTTTCTCTCTCTACAAAAATTGGAACTTAATCAAGGAAACACTCCTTCAAGCCTCTCATAAGTAAGTAAACCCTCCTAACTCATTGTTTTGCTTAGTATACATACAAATCTCAGGTTTAAACTCTCAAAAGCCCCAAGAATATGAGTTTACGGTTTAAGGAGCATCCCAAAACCGTAAACACCCAACAAAGGGGTTTTGATGCCCCAAAACCCTCCCAATGCTTGGATAACGACCTAGAAACTTGCATAAATGACCTAAGGATCCCAAATCACGAAATGGATGGAGTAACCATGAGTTTACTGCTATAAACTCATGACTTTATGGTAGTAAACTCCCAAGAAACATTCAAGAATCGTAAACACCCCAAAAAGGGTGTTTTGATGACCCAACTCCCTATCTAGCATGACTTATGGACTAGGAACTTGCTTGGATGATCTAGGAACCCCAAAATTCGAAGTGGATGGATAAACCATGAGTTTACTACCGTAAACTCATGGTTTACAGTAGTAAACTCCCCAAAAAGGGTCCAAGGACCGTAAACTCCAAAAAGTGGGCAATCCATGCCCTAACCACTTCCTAAACCCTTGAAATCAACCCTAGAACCTTCCTTGGTGAGGCCAGAAGCTTAAAAGCACACAAATACACCCCTACCATGAGTTTATGACCGTAAAATCGTGGGGGAAATGGTCCCTCAACCGTAAACTCACCTAAGGTGGGTATTTGAGGAGTAAACTCCATAGTGAGGTCATATGCTCCTTAGATGCAACCCTTGGCACTCCTAGCACCTAAAACAAAGTGTTTTGATGCATTAGGGTGTAATTACTTACTTATTTACTGATTAAATAACTAATTAGACACCATTATGTGTCACTACATGTTTCATAGGATCCGTGTGAGTGTTCAAGTCCTCATTTGACACCTAGCATCCTACCCGACATTTTCATCCACTCCACTCACTGCAAGTGAGTTTATACCCCTTAATTAACCTTTCAAATGTTTTTAAATGTTTTATGGGGGGGGGGGATACAAGTTGAATACAACAAGTTATAGTATCAATCACATGTGATTTATGACTTGCAATAAAAAAGGATTTTCTATACTTTTAGCTACTTGTCAACAAAACTGTTTTAAATAATTATCAAACGCATTTTCTATGTTTTCTTATTAAACTATTTCAAACTGTTTCTGAACTTCTTTTCTTTTAAACTATATCTACACCAATATATTTATATAAGTAAGACTTGAAGGACTTAGTACTGATAGCTCGCCTTACCTCTTGTTCTTGTTTTATTGTGGTCTTAGGGTATATTGTTATCTGTCCCACTGTCGTTGAATTCTTAGTTATATATCATATATATTTGTGTTAGATATGAAAGTCTTCACTTAATTCAATACCTTTGTAAATCAATGGCATGCAATCCCACACTCTATTTAACTATAATAGGTATAGTTAAGACTATCGCCCATTACCCCTATCACTATGATTCTCACTATAATTACTACTATTACGAGTTAATACATGTTAAAGAGAACAATATATACACTATACTAAAAAGTTCATTATACTATAATACAAGAGAAAACACTAATCCAGAATGTGACACACTATTCCTCTATACGACACTCTACTGTGCGAACATCGTGTAACCAGAGCTTCCCGGAAGGAAAGCAAACACTACATGTATAGATCTATACAGGAAGGACACTATTACATCCCGACTGCTAACTACAGTCCGAGCCGACTAGGCCCAGTGTAACATACAAGTTCTGAAATTGTGTATTGCTATTATTAAAAGTGAATAAAATTGAGTGTTGAGTTCTAACAGGTAGTTTTTACTAGAAATGAAGTAAAACTATGTTTAGAATCACTAAGAAAATATTAGATATCTTATGAGATTCCAATTAAAAACCAAATAGTGAAATTTAGCGAAAATATAAAATTTTAAATAAGTAAAATTTTATTATTGAAAGTTGTAAATCATCTCGTTAGAAACTTGTAGGCGAAACCCTTGTTGAAATCCGAGTTATAATGAAGAAGTTATGACCAATCGAAGATCCGCGATAAAACCGGCACGGCGCCGAATGACGTAAAAAGTGAGTTTTTGATAAACTAATTTTTAGCCTTAGTGATATAAATGAAAGTCATAGTATTCGTTAAAGTGAGAAATTCGATAAAAATAACGCCAAAATCTGACTTCGT